CTAACTGGGGTAGAGAACCCGGGAAGAGGAAAGATTGGTCATGGTCAATGGAACAACACTAATTATTCTGTACTTAAAGTTCACCTCACTCAAAAATAATTGAGTGAGAAATAAAACTGAAATCAGCCATTTAAGATATTTTATTCAATAAATATTTATTCAATGATATTTGAATAATGTCTTGTCATATGGCCAGGGCTTTCCTGGTGGCTCAGCAGTAAAGAATTTGCCTGCCAGTGCAGGAGATGTGGGTTCGATCTCTGGGTTGGGAAGATCCCATGAAGAAGGATATGGCAATCCACTCCACTGTTCTTGCCTGGAGAATTCCATCGACAGAGGAGCCTGGCTGGCTATAGTCCATGGGGTCACACAGAATCAGATATGACTTAGTGACTAAACAACAACAAGAAGAAGTAGTCATGAGGGCCACTGTGTTTGTTCTGAGCACATAAAGTAAGTAAGATTCATTCTCCGCCCTCAAGGAATTAACAGTCTAGTGGGGAGAAATATTGTTCCATTTTGTAAAGCTAGCATGCTTGCTTTCCTTTCCCCCACTTCTAAAGACTTGGAACTCCTAAGAAATGTATAGAGAAAATCTTAAATGGATATGAGCTTTGGAGTCACAAGACCCAGACTTGAATCTGGGTCTTGGAATATACCAACCAGGTGAGTGATGATCTTAGGTAGAGCAAGTAACTCTTCCGATTCTTATGGTCCTCACCTACACCTGCAGAGTTGTTTTACAGATAAAAGAGGTAGAAATTTTTTGTAAAATGCATATTAGCAATTAATGTAATTATAAAAAGCTACATTTCCAATCTGCAGAAACAAGAGGTGAATCATGGGCAGCAAGTCTGAAGTGAAAGACCAGCTTTGAACTCTTGGGATGGCAGGAGTTTGGGGATGGGAAGTATAATAAGACGTGTGGTGGGGAAAAAATAGGCTTTCGGGGCCTTCAATCTGGTTCAAATCATGATTCAAGCAATTATTAGCTCTGGAAAGTTGAGCAAGTCATGTAATCAGTCTGAGCTCTAGTTTCTTCATCTGTAAAATGGAGTTAATAATTCTTACCCAGGAGGGTTGTTCTGAGTATATAAAGAGCTTGGCGTGGTGCCTAGGAGAGCTGTCGCTCAATTAATTGGTAACTGTTGTTCCTATTAATATGACCATTTTCCTCTCCTACCTCCTACGGGGTTTATTTAGGCGGTTAAATTACCTGAAGTACAAGGGAGTGAGGTAAATGGAAGGGCTGTTATGACTTGACTAAAATGTTATTTTTAAAAGTAAAGAAAGACAGTTCAATTCAGTTTTCCTCTCCTAACCTATGATGGAAACAGAACTCTTATAAAAAAATGACCACTGTATTATATGGCTTGGAGCCAGAGAACACCTACCTTAATAATTATACCTTATATTTATTCTATTCTAAGTTAATCTACCAATCATTGTTTTTTTTTCATTTATTTTTATTAGTTGGAGGCTACCAATCATTGTTAATAAGAATCTCATAAGGCAATGCTTCTCAAAATTTAATGTACACGTGAGTCTCTTGGGGACTTGCTAAAATGCAGATTTTTATTCAGTGGATTTGCAGTAAAGCATGAAAATCTGCATTTCTATAAAGGTCCCAAGTGAGGCCCATGCTTCTGGTTCATGGACCACACTTTGAGGAAGGAGGGAGGTTCTAAGGGGGCGTGGAAATATCTTCCTTGGTGTAACTACCTGCTTCTCTTTGGAGATCTACCTAATTGCAAACTAACCACTTGCTGATAGAACACTACCAGGTCTTTTTAAGACCAGATTTAGAAATTCTGCAACAAGACTCATATCTGAGCAATACTGACTTTTTCAAGCAGCCTACTATGTTCGAGGAACAGTGCAAGGTGCCAGAGATACAGTGGTTAGAAAGGCACAATTTCTGCTTCAGGAGACTGCCTTTATTCTAACACTGTCCTCCCTTGGAGACTGTTATCTTTCTTAGGGCAATCTTATTGTCTCCCCTGTTCCCTAGCTCTATATAGATGCCCAGTAAATAATTAATGAATAAAAGAGTTCCCAGGAATTTCATTAAAAATGTTGTCTGGCAGAGAAAGGCAAATGCTGTATGATATCACTTACATGTGGAATCTAAAAAATATAACAAACTAGTGAATATAACAAAAAGAAACAAGATTTATAGATATGGAAAATAAACTGGGGTTACCAGTGGGGAGAAAAAAGAGAGAGGGGGCCCCATAGGGGTAGGGGACTAACAGGTACAAACTATTATGCATAAAATAAATAAGCTACAAGGATATATAGTGCAAAACAAGGACTACAGCCAATATTTTACAATTACTATAAGTGGAATGTAATCTGTAAGAATTGTGAATCACTATGTTATATGCCTGAAACTTATATAATATTGTATATCAACTATACCTCAATAAAAACAAATCTTGTCTAGCAGTGCATGACAATGAACACTATCTTGGCTATCACATGTAGAAAATGAAAGTTGCTCAGTCACGTCTGATTCTTTGAGAGCCCATGAATCCACCAGGCTCCTCTGTCCATGGAATTCTCTAGGCAAGAATACTAGAGTGGGCTGCCATTCCCTTCTTCAGGGGATCTTCCCGACCCTGGGATTGAACCCACGTCTCCTGCACTGGCAGGTGGATTCTTTACCATCTGAGTCACCAGGGAAGCCCAATCACATGTAAGAGGTGGTTAAATTAAAAGGGGCTGATAGGGTGGCCCTTAGGGCTTCCCAGGCGGCTCAGTGGTAAAGAATCTACTTGCCAATGCAAGAGCCGAGAGTTCAATTCCTGGGCTGGGAAGATTCCCCTGGAGCAAGAAATAGCAACCCACTCCAGTATTCTTGTCTGGAAAATCCTATGCAGGAGCCTGGTGGACTTCAGTCGATGGGTTTGCAAAAGAATTGGACACGACTTAGCGACCAAACAACAACAACAAGGGTGAGCCTTAATCCAGTCTGACTGGTGTCCTTATAAGAAGAGATTCACACACACACAGAGACTCCAGAGCACACACACCAAGCAGCCACTATGTAAGGGCACAGCAAGAAGGCCACCATCTGCAAGCCAAAGACAGTGGTTCCAGAAGAAATCAAGCCTGAAGACACCTTAATCTTGGACTTTCAGCCTCCAGAACCATGAGATAATAAATTGCTGTTGTTTAAGCCACTCAGTCTATAGTATTTTGTTATGGCAACCCTAGTAAACTAACACAAATTCTCATAACTTTTATGCCCAGAACCAAGACTCCATTCTGGAGGGTACATAAAATGTCAGAAAAATACTGAGACTGGATGGATGAACCTCCAAGTGCAGTGGGATTGAGTCATGGAAGGATTGGGGGGAGACCGAAGAGGGTGAGATAGTAGCCCAGATTGGGTTAAAACAGCTGCAATATATGTACATTTCCTTTCCCTTCTCATGATACCAACACAAAATGTAGGATTGTTCTCTCTCCAAATCTGAGATTGAAAGTAGCTTTTTTTACTTTTTCCTCCTTCTCAGGTTATGTTTTGATATTCAATACAATTTTACTTGTTTAAAAATATTGTGGCAGGAGGAAGACCACAGATTTCTCTCTGAATGCAAATTCTTCATATACAAAGAGTACCTGTGCTGATAAAATAGGTAATGAGACTGAATTTTTGACAAACAAAAATATATCAGAAACATGCAGTCAAGTGAGATTTCTGCTAGCCACAGGGAGCTACATTTGCAAGCAGATTCTAAAGTCAAGGGGATTATTTTTTTGCTTTGTTTTGTTTTCAATAAACATGCCAACTCATATGTATAGATGAATGCCTCTTTCGAAATTCTGGGAGGTTCTACACTTATTCTAACTGTGTCACTGTTTTCAAATCATTTCTTCGATTGCTTTAAGGGTCTGTGAGATGGTCTTCTGAAAGCTCTCAATGGTGACTCGTGAAGGTAGATTTGACTTTCAAAAACAACCCAGGGTCCTTCTGGGTCAACTCTGGTTAACTAGGGGGACCAGTCAAACTTTAATGTCAAGAGGATCAGCCCTAAAGTTTCCAGGCTGATTTTTCTGGAGTGAATCATTCTCAACCTCAGAAGACAGTTTCCAAAGGCAAACCCCAGACATGTAGTAAACATGTTACAGGCATGACAACAAGGGCAGGGGATGTGACCGCTCTGAAGGAAACCCCATTCATTTGGATATGCAAGTTTTTTAGTGGTTTCCTTTACCAGAATATTTCCTCAGGTCTAGATCTACTTTTCTTCATGAGACCACAGTTTCCGGAAGTCCAAGGATGTCACTGTGTTAGTTAACTTTTAATCTCCAACCTGGGTACTTGGTCTGTGTCCAAGGCACAGCTGATGGAAAGATCAATATGGGGGAAGAATAGCTAAGATGCCTGGGGCTTGCTCTATGTGATTCAAAGGGCAAAACTAGGACCCAGAAAAAAGCTCTGGAGACATAAATTTCTGCTCCTACCAAGAAATTCATTGTCAGCAGCTGGAGCTGTCCAGCAATGGAGTTTGCTCTGGAATAGGAAATGGTGAACTTTCACCCAGAGCGCAGAGTTCAAGGCAAAGACACTTGTTACAGGAACCTTTAGAGGTTTCTCCTGCAATGGGGTACTATGCAGTGTCCACCAAGGACTAGCCCCTGAGTTCTACCTGCACAATAACTGACAATTGGTGGGCCCTGAAAAAATACTGGAATGGAATGAATGAGGCATGCAGTGAATCTTGTGAACCACATAAAGGGGAAGAAGCAGGAACTCAATCAGCCTCAAGGAAGGTAGAGAGAAGTGCAATGAAAAGACCCAGGAAGCCATGCGGTAGGACCTTCCTCGAGTTTTTGGTTCCATAGGAGAGAAGCTGCTCTGGGTACCTGAAGCCTCACGTGTTTACTTAAGTCCATGCGGGGGTCGCACCGAGTCGGGCACGACGGAGCACGCAAGCACTCCCATATTTTAAAGGGGGGAGGAGTGGAGGGAGGAGAGACCACATGCTCACCCTTCTTAAATTCCTCCAGCACCGTGTCCAGCCGGGTGTCGTTGAAGACGCAGTGTAGGGGCCGGTTGTAGAAGCGGGTGACGGTGAGAAGCGGCGTGCAGTCGTCGGGGTCCACGAAGGCCAAGTCCTTGACAAACAGAATGTCCACAATGTTGTGCCGCTGGTCGCCCTCGTATACGGGGATGCGCGTGTAACCGCTGCGCAGGATCTCGGAGACGGTCGCGAAATCCAGCACCGCGTCGGAGCGCAGCATGAAACAGTCCCCGAGGGGGGTCAGCACCTCCTCCACCACCTTGGTGCGCAGCTCCAGGGCGCCCTGGATGATGTTGAGCTCCTCTTTGACCAGGTCGCTGTAAGGGTCCGCGGCTCGCAGCGTCTCCAGCAGCTTTTCCCGCGTGTAGAAGGTGCTGATCTCCTGGCGCAGCGCCCAGTCGAGCAGGCGGCCCAGTGGGTAGCACACGGGGAAGGCGGCCGCCATCAGAAGCCGGGTCAGGCACACGCTGTGCGAGGCGATGGCCAGCCCGTGCCGCGAACACACGGAGTAGGGGCAGATCTCGGCGCCCAGGAACACCGCGCCGGTGCACACGAGCGCCGGCAGCCACGGGAAGTGAATTCCCGCGTCGCCGTAGTCCTCCCCGGTGCCCCCGACGCCCGGCGGCAGCGAGGCGTACAGCCAGCCCGCCAGGGCCGCGTTGGCTCCGGCTTGGCCCAGGAGCAGGGTGCAGAGCAGATGGGTCCCCCTGCCGCGCACGGCCTGCACTCGGCGCGCCTGCTCCTGCTCGGCGGCCGAGCCGCTGTTCCGCAGCACCCGTAACTCCACCGGGTCCAGCGAGAGCAGGCTCAGGCGTAGGCCGCTGAACAGGGCAGACAGGGCGAGCAGCAGGAGTGCTCCGAGCGCCCGCAGCCAGGCGGGGGGCAGCAGGTCCCCGCCGGGGCCGTACAACCGCGGGCGGACGCGCAGCAGGAAGCCGCCGGCGGCGCCGTGGTGGTGCCAGGCGCGCCCGTCCCAGGCGCACAGGGAGAAGAGCTTCCCGCCACCGCCCGCGCCGCCTCGCTCCGCCTCGCCCTTGCGGAGTTCCCGCACCCGCACCTGGACTAGGGCTGAGCCCGCCACGCCTCCCGGGCGCAGGGGCCCCAGGACCTCCACGTCCGATGCCCAGTCGCTCTGCTCGCGGCAGCGCTGCGGCCCCGGGGGGCGCGTGGGCACAGCGCTGGGCGCCGCGCCGCTCCCTCCCGGAGGCTCCTCGATAAACACGAGTCGTGGAGCCCAGTCGCCGGTGCTGTTCTCCCCCGGGGAAAAGGTGGGTGCAGGTACCGGCGCCGCGGGCGCCGCGGGCCCGGGCTGGAAATAGACTCGCAGGAGGAAGCTGGTGCCTTCCGCGGCGCGCAGGGTGCCCCCCTCTAGGGACACGCGGCCTCCGGCGGTGTCCTCGGGCCGCAGGCCCAGCAGCCAGGCGGCGGCGGCCGGGGGCCGAGGGGATAGGGAAAAGAAGAGCAGGAGCACAGCGCCCCGGCTGCAGCAGTCTCGGAGCCTGACACCCACCGCTGCAGCGGCCGCCGCCATCCTGCACCCGGCGCGGCTGCACGTGATACTGCAGAAAGCCGAACGAGAGCTGGAGGGAGGAGGAGCCGAAGCCGGGAACCCGGCCCTGGGCAGGTCACCACGTGTACGTCCCCCCGCTCGCGTGAGCCGGAGGCCGTGGGGGTTCAGACCCAGCCCGGGCCGTGGGTCCCCACGGGAAGCTGGAGATGGTCATGCATCATTGCACTGTGATCCCGACCCACTTGGGTACTCAAGAGTCGCAGCCTAGGGAAAGCTGGTCTTGGAGCATGGCCTCCTACTAGAGCATTAGGGCGCCCCTGGGCGAACTCCTACCCGGCAGTAATTTCCTGCTGGTCCTTCCACTTTACCATTGGCCAGGGAAATTTCCCAGCATTTCGCCTCTCCTCCTGTCTCTTGCGTTCCCCCTCCTGGTCAAAAGATATTCTGGAGACAAGTCTTGAATCTGTGTGTTTGTCTCAATTTCAGCTGACCTTTCATGTTTTAAAAATTTACAGATTACTTAGGTTAAATCCTTTTTAAGATCTCAGTGTCCATTGATTGGAAATTGTGGAATGAAGCTATGATTCCACTGTGTGATGGAATACTATGCAGCAGGAAAAATAATTATGTGGCTCCACGTGTTTGTGATATGGAAATACCTCCAAAGTACTAGTTGAAAATATCAAGGTGCAGAACAGTGTGTGTCATATGCTACTGTTTGTATTAAAAATATGTACGTATAAATGTTTATGTACACATATACATATATAAAGTAATAGATTTAATATGCAGAGGATACACAAGAAATTTGTAATAGTGTTCAACTCAGGGGAGCAAGCCTATAATACAATGCCAAAAGCAGGAAATTGGCATTGAAGAGTTTTGTCTCATTTTACCGCATGTATAGATTTATATAATCATTGCTGAATCAAAATACAGAACTATTCTATCACCATAAAGAGCCGGGAGGGAGACTTTTTACTGAATTCCTTGTATTGTTTGAACTTACCATGGGCTTGTTACCTTATTTTACTTTTATGCATTTTGAAAAAAATTATATAGTAAAATTCATCTCCTGGTGTACTATTCTGTGAGTTTTGACATATGTTCATTGAATGACCACAATAAATACTAGTGCCATGGGGACTTCCTGGCAGTCCAGTGGCTAAGAATCTGCCTTGTAATGCAGAGGACGTGGGTTCTAAGATCCCACATGCTGTGGAGCAACTAAGCCAGCATCATTTAGCTACTGACCCCCTGCACTCGGGCTCACTGGGTGCAACAAAATATCCCACATGAAACAAGTGGCAACTAAGACCGGAGGCAGCCAAATAAATAAATATTTAAGAAAAAAATAGTGCCATCACCTCCAACTTTCACTCTTTTTCTTTGTGGTTAGCTCTGCGCCCCGCCCCCCCCCCACCTCTATTTATCATCTAGCAGCTACTGATCTGATTTGTTGTCTCCAATAGTTTTATTTTCCAGAATGTCATATTAATGAAATAATACAGAATATGGCCTTCTGGCTCTAGCTTCCTTTACTTACTTAGCAATATGCAGTTGAGAGTCACCAATGTTGTTCTGTTTATCAATAGTTCATTCCTTTTTATAGCTAGGTAGTATTTTATTACATTGGAGAAGGAAATGGCAAACCACTCCAGTGTTCTTACTTGGAGAATCCCATGAACAGAGGAGCCTGGTGGGCTACTACTGTTCATGGGGTTGCAAAGAGTCAGAAAGGACTGAGTGACTAACCACATTCTATTACATAGATGTAGCACAGTTTATCCATTTATCAGTTAAAAAACATTTGAGTTAGTTCCAGCTTTTGGCAGTTGTGAATAAAGCTGCTACAAATGTTTGTAAGCAAATTTTTGTGTGAACATATGTTATCATTTCTCTTGGGTAAATTTACCACAGGTCTGTATTACCTTTTAAAATATAAAATGTAACAATACTTTGGCATACTACCTTTGGCACCTCTGACTAATTTAAAAAAATCATATGTGAAATATTATATTTCATAGAATTTCAAAGATATTGATTGAGAAAGACTTGCAAAAGATGAAGCTCGATATGGTCCAAACTCAAAGTTACCTTCTTTTCATAACAAACTCTTATCATCCAGAGTGGAAGCAGCCCCCTCCTTGTCTGTGACTACCTAGGCCTTAGTGGGCTGCTGCTCACATTCTGGTCTCATAGGCTGCTTTTCACACTCTGCAAGGAGGGAGTGTGAAGCAAAGCTCCTATTGCCTTAAAATATATAGATCCTGTGTGCTACAAGCTGCCTCTTGCATGGGCTGCTTAGGAGACTGAAGAAACATTTAATCCAGAGAAGGAACATTGAAGCATTTATTGGAAATGTAGGGGAAAGAGTGGAGGTGTCAGGCATGTGATTGTTTCTCTTAAGCTGGCAAAAAAAATACATTCTCACTTTTGTCCTCACACTTAGATCTCCCTCCTCTCTCAGCACACAGGTATCTGTTATCCTAAGGGTTCTCCCACCTCTTTTAGGTCACAGGACTTTATCATCATTATAATACCACATGACACCTTTAGCAAGCTTTAGAGTTACAAAGGGATTCCATATCTATTATTTCACACACAAACACATACATTCACACAGCCTTGTGAAGTAGATGTAATTGTACCCATTTTACAGATAGGGTAAAATGACTGGTAAAACTTCTTTGAATTCTAGGCTGATGCTCCCTCACTCCATAGGGCTGACATGTGCCAAAATAGAAGCTATCAAAAATATTCAATTAGGAATTAAAAAACCTAAATGTCTAATATAAGGTATTACATTTCCATTGAAAATTAAGTTTTAATACAGAAAAGCTTACATAAAAATAAACTATAACCCCATCAAGCAGAGATAAATAGTTAATATTCTGACACATTTCCTTTTTTATTTTCCACATAGATAACTGGGAAGAACACATACATCTACAATTGAATACATATTATGCATACAATTTTAGTCTGCTTCTATCACTTAACATACCAAGAACATTTTCCCTAATGTAATAAAAATTCTTTGAAAAGCATATTTTTTAATATTAACAAGTGTTAGGCTTCAGAAAGTCAACTCACAATTCTGGACCTATTTCCTTATCTGTGAAATGAAAGACAGTTTTAAGGTCCTTATCCTTTCATGAATCAGTGAGTACGGACTAATGTACACCAGGTGAAGATGATCTAAAGAGACTGAGTACTTTTCCTTGTCTGAACAAGAGGTTCTGGAAAAGTATTGGGTTTCCAAAGCTTTACTGTAGCTGAAATGATTCCTGGGGACAGATTCAGGCAGTGTGATTCTAGTAAGTAAGAGCTGCCCAAAACGGTTCTCCAGAATCTGGATGTTGACTATCTTTTTGGCTTACAAAGTGGGCAACTCCTCAGTTCCCAGAGAGATGGAGGAAATGATACTTGCCTTTAATCTCATGACTAAGATATTTCAGAATATATGTATTAAAATGCTTTTATTTACTTCATTACTTGTTCATTCATTCAATAAATACTTGTTAATATTCAGTAATCCTTGCCACCACTGAATTTAGATTCCCCTGAGAGTGACAGATGTGATTGCTTACCTATCTAATTAATTAGTTACTCCTATGAAAGAGATGTTCAAAGTGCATGCAAGTGTATAACCTAGGACAAAGAGGAAAGGCTGGGTAGATTATACCCAAAATGAAATGAAATGAAAGTGGAAGAATTTAAATATTAGGAAGAACATGAAACATATATTTTGTATCTTCTTTTTTGTAATACTTTTAAAACTATGACAATGTATTAATAATATCCCTAAGAATATAATCTGTTGACATTTATCAAGTGCTTACCATGTGCCAAGTACATTATCCCTTTTAATTCTCACAACAGATGAGACAATTTAGGCTCTGATTGGGTAACTTTGCAAAATTCCTGTTGCTGGTGGGTAGTGGTGCTCAGTTGGATACACAGTTTGAGTTCAGAGAGTACAGCTTAAAAAGTTAAGAAAACAATACCAGTTAACCCTTACTATGTATTAGGCATAAACTAACTCATTTAATTCTCAGAAGAACCTTTGGAAGTAGGTGGTATTATTATTTCCACTTTATATGAGGAAGCTAAACTACAGAGAGATTAAGTACCTTGGTAGCCAAGAATACATATATACAACCAAGGGCAGATGCACTGCCACTGTACCACACAATTTTACACAATACTACAGCTACCTGTCATATTTTTGCCCATTTACATACACCATCTTACATAGTCACACATATATTTCTACAACTATAGTATTCTGTTTCTTTTCATTCATCATTATAGCAGGTTTTCCCTCATTAAAACTAACTGTAAACACGTTTTTCCTTTTTCCTCCCCACCTCCAAGTCCATGTGTGCTCAGTCATGTCTGACTCTTTGCAACCCCATGAACTCCTCGGTCTGTGGGATTTCCCAGACAAGAATACTGGAGTGGGTTGCCATTTCCTCCTCCATCCCTTCTCCGTATTCTGTTGTTATTGCTGATTATTTGTTAGTTTTACCACAGGCACAGAGGATTGAGTTAATCATCTTTCTCAGTTCATGGGCTTTGTAAAGTCCTCCTCCACGCCATCCTGAAGGTTCCCTGGTGGCTCAGTGGTAAAGAATCTGCCCGCCAATGCGGGAGACATGAGTTCAATCCATGTCTTATTTATTCCAACTTATTTGATATGTCCTTAAAACAAGTATAAAATATTGTTTGGGGCTTCCTTGGTCATCCAGTGATTGAGAATCCATCTGCCAATGCAGGAGACACGGGTTCAATCCCTGCTCCAGGAAGATCCCACATGCCATGGACAGAGCAACTAAACCTGTGCATCACAATGACTAAGCCAGCACTCTAGAGCCCGTGCTTCACAAAAAGAGATGCCACTGCGGTAAGAAGCCCGTGTACCACAACTAGAGAGTAACTCCTGCTCTTCGCAACTAGAGAAAGCCCTTGAGTGGCAACGAAGACCCAGCATCAGTTTGTTCAGTTTGGTTGCTCAG